CTGTTCGTCGTGGGAGTTCTGTGTGCCATATTTGGTTCAATTCCATCACTGGTGGAGTTCAGAATGCTCTTTGATTGTAGGTGAACTATACCTCCCAGTAACTACAACTTGCATATGTCAAGGTCTATTTTCCCCCAAGAGTGCCTCAAGAGTGCCCTTGGGCAAAATCAACTATACTGCAAATGTTTACTTTGCATAATGGGTTGAGCCATCCCTGATGGCCCTTCTGATCTCTTCCAACTCTATGATTCTGTGATTCTAGCTATGGGACCCAGGATAGTTAACCACCTATGTAGTTACATTTTAAATTACATTTTAATAAGTTTATCATGACTTCAACAACCTCAACAAGCCAAGAGATAGCAGCATGAGATATTCCTTTCACCATTAATAAAACATGTTCCTGCAACTATAAAAGTAGCTGAGAGTTACCATTATACCACAAAAACCACCAGAGAAGGAAACCATCACCGCCGCTGAGGGAAGAGGAGGACCCCCCCCCAAGGATTGCTGCTGCTGTGGCCCTTCACCATCTTGATTTATTATTTTATTCTTATAATTTTGTTTCTGTTTTGGTTTGTTTTGTTTTTTATTCTTATTTTTTACTTTTATTTTATTTTTATTGTTATTTTATTTTATTTTTGGGTTAATTTAGTGTGTTTTAGTTTAGTGTGGGCTGCTGGGCGTCCATGACTCAGCGTTTGCTATCCTTTCCAGAGAATTAGTCAGCTAATCACTCTATACTGCCCTCTATGGTTCAACCAAACTGTGCAAGTAACATCATTTAATACAGTTTAGAATCTGTGCTGGTAACTAGTGTTAAATAACTGTTGTCTTCAATATCCGGGCTACCATCTTCCCGTGAATTGGGTCATCTCCTTCTGAGGTCGGCCAAGAAGACCTGGGGACCCGGCCACTGGGTGCCGGCTTGCTTTCCACGGACCTAGAGTACTGGGTTCCTATTGTTTGAACTGACTGTCCTGATTGAAGGTTGATTGTGGATTTAATCCAGAAGGCACTAACTTTGCACTTTAGAACTATCATAGCACTATACCACTTTACATTGAGCACTTTAGATCTCTAATCTGCCAGAACTCTTGCCAGTAGCAAAGCGGTCCCAAATCCCAAATCCATGATCAAGTGATTGATTGATTAATTGTGATTAATTGTGATCAATTGTGTCGCACTTTAAATAACTGCTCAGAGTTTTGCACAGTCACTTTGGAACTAAGCACAAATATTGTTGTTTATCAATTACCCTACTCCTATGTTACCATTAACTCCAATCCTGCTGCTATCGATACTAGTGCACTTTACCATTTTTAATACACTGGAAGGAGCAGGCAATCTCAAAGGGGGGGAACATCAAGACCTAACTATATGTGACTACAATTATCATCAAGCATTGACATATGGAACAACAATAGATGGAAATGGAGGACATGTCCCCGGGGAAAGGGGTGGGCCCACGGGTGGGGGTGCCACCATAGGGGTGGTGACAGGCAGAGGGAGATACGGGAAAGGGAGAGCAAATTATCTATTCCGGCCCAAAATTCACGATAATAGATTGGCAACCTTTAAAAATGCTAACAACCCAAGGAAAAATCAAATTCGGCCAAAAATTTATAACAGAACATTGGCAATTCCAAAAATTGAGACTACAATTCGGCCCGAAATTAGCAAAAACAGATTGGCAGCTTCAAAACATCCTCCTGACAAGATACAACTGAGGTCCCAGGATGGTGGACCCTCCAGGTTAAAGGTGGTGCTGTTCAATGCCAGGTCGGTAAATGGAAAAACTGCTATTATTCAAGATCTAATCCAAGAAGAACAGGCCGACCTGGCTTGTATAACGGAGACCTGGCTGGACGAAGGGGGAGGGGTTAACCTCTCCCAACTCTGTCCACCAGGCTACTCTGTTCAGCACCAACCAAGACTTGGAGGGCGGGGAGGAGGAGTCGCAGTGGTCTATAAGGAGTTTATCCCTCTGATCAGACGTCCCATCCCACAAACATCTTCGTTTGAATGTGCCGGCTTTAGGATAGGTGACCGGGACAGGATAGGGATTCTGTTAGTGTACCGACCACCCCGCTGCACTACAGTCTCCCTACCTGAGCTAGCGGGAGTGGTCTCGGACATGGCTTTGAGCTCCCAAAGGCTTTTAGTCCTGGGAGATTTCAATGTCCATGCCGAGGCCTCTCTCTCAGGAGCGGCTCAGGACTTCATGGCCGCCATGGCAACCATGGGCCTGTCCCAACTAATATCTGGTCCCACCCATAGTGCCGGGCACACTTTGGATTTGGTTTTTGTGCAGGGATGGGATGAGGGTGACGGGGTGGAGGAGCTGACCATCGCTCCATTGCCATGGACCGATCACCATCTGATCAGATTTAGACTAACTGTGCCTTCTAACCTCCGCAGGGGTGGTGGACCCATTAGAATGGTCCGCCCCAGGAGACTTATGGATCCAAATGGTTTTCTGACGGCTCTTGGGGATTTCTCCACCTCCTTGGCTGGCGACTCTGTCAATGCTCTGGTCTCTCGCTGGGACAGTGAGTTGACCAGGGCAATTGACACAATCGCTCCGGAACGTCCCCTCTCGAGTAACCGAGCTAAACCAGCCTCTTGGTTTACTGAGGAGCTGGCAGCGATGAAGCGAAAGAAGAGGAGGCTAGAGTGCGTGTGGCGCCAGAATCCCACCAATCCAGCCCAAACACACCTGAATGCCTTTTTAAGGTCCTACGGTGTGGCAATAGCGGCAGCTCAAAAAACATCTATTACAGCCAATATTGCATCCGCGAAGAATCGTCCGGCTGAGCTCTTCCGAGTTGTCAGGGGCCTGTTAAATCCGCCAAAATGCGAGGCCTTGGATAACTCGGTGGCCCGCTGTGAAGCATTTGCTCGATTCTTCACGGATAAAATTGAGCGGATTCGGTCAGGCTTTGACGTCATGTTAACGGCAGTCTCCGGGGATGTAACGAGAACATCTGCTTGTCCAGTTTTGTTGGATTCGTTTCAATTGGTTCAGCTTGAGGATGTGGACAGGATCCTTGGAGAGGTGCGACCCACCACATGCATCCTAGACCCCTGCCCATCCTGGCTGATAAAAGAAGCCAGAGGGGTTTTGGCAGAGTGGGTGAAGGTGGTGGTTAATGCCTCCTTACAGGAAGGAAAATTTCCAGCGAGCTTAAAACAAGCTATTATAAAACCGCTGTTGAAGAAACCATCACTGGATCCCACTCAATTCGACAACTATCGGCCAGTTTCCAATCTCCCCTATTTGGGCAAAGTCATGGAACGTGTGGTGGCGACCCAACTCCAGGGGTTTCTGGTAGACACTGATTATCTAGATCCGGCACAGTCTGGCTTTAGGCCGGGACATGGAACTGAGACAGCCTTGGTCGCCTTGGTAGATGATCTTCGCAGGGAGCTGGACAGGGGGAGTGTGTCCCTGTTAGTTCTGCTGGACCTCTCAGCGGCCTTCGATACCGTCGATCACGGTATCCTTCTGGGGCGCCTCATGGACATGGGGCTCGGAGGCACTGCACTGCGGTGGCTCCGATCCTTCCTTGAGGGACGGACCCAGAAGGTGTTATTGGGTGACACCTGTTCGACTCCGCAACCGTTGTTGTGCGGAGTCCCACAGGGTTCAATTCTGTCCCCGATGTTATTTAACATCTACATGAAGCCGCTGGGGGAGATCATTCAGAGTTTCGGAATGAGATGTTATCTCTACGCAGATGATGTCCAAATCTGTCACTCCTTTCCACCTGTCACCAAGGAGGCTGTCCAGACCTTGAACCGGTGCTTGGCCGCTGTGTCGGACTGGATGAGAGCTAACAAATTGAAATTGAATCCAGACAAGACAGAGGTCCTACTGGTCAGTCGTAAGGCCGAACAGGGCATAGGGTTACAGCCTGTGTTAGACGGGGTTACACTCCCCCTGAAGACACAGGTTCGCAGCTTGGGAGTGATCCTGGACTCATCGCTGAGCCTGGAACCCCAGGTCTCGGCGGTGGCCGGGAGAGCTTTTGCACAATTAAAACTTGTGCACCAGCTGCGCCCGTACCTTGGGAAGTCAGATCTGGCCACGGTGGTCCACGCTCTTGTTACATCCCGATTGGATTACTGCAACGCACTCTACGTGGGGTTGCCTTTGAAGACTGCTCGGAAACTCCAACTGGCCAGCGGGAGGCAGCCAGATTGCTCACCGGAGCGACATACAGGGAGCACACCACCCCCCGTTGTGTCAGCTCCACTGGCTGCCGATCCAATTCCGAGCACAATTCAAATGCTGGTTTTGACCTACAAAACCCTATACGGTTCCGGCCCAGTGTATCTGTCCGAACGGATCTCCCTCTACGTCCCACCTCGGAGCGTAAGATCTTCTGGGGAGGCCCTGCTCTCGACCCCGCCTTTATCACAAGTGAGACTGGCGGGGACGAGGAGCAGGGCCTTCTCGGTAGTGACCCCCCACCTGTGGAACTCACTCCCCGGGGAGATCAGATCAGCGACTTCACTTCTCTCATTCAGGAAAAAACTGAAAACTTGGATGTGGGACCAGGCTTTTGGACATCATGGCAGCTAAAGAAAGACCTGATGACGAGCTGGAATTTGACGAGACGGAAGGGATTAACGAAACTCCGAACGCTGAGCTCAGGATTAGTTTACTACTGTGTTACTGTATTTCTGTGTAGTGATGTTTTTAAATTTTAATATGTAATTGTTTAATTTGCTTATATATGTATGTTTATGTGACAAAGGCATCGAATTGTGCCTTCCTCTGTAAGCCGCCCTGAGTCCCCCCCCCCGGGGGTGAGAAGGGCGGGGTAAAAGTGACGGAAATAAATAAAATAAATAAAAACAGGGGATCACCTGCAATTTATACTTATAATGTAGCTTAATTACAATTTTGTTATTGGAAAAAGAAAATAGTTACATATAACTAGTTCTTTTAATTCTGATGTCTGTTTTTTCACATATCTCAGCAGATCACATACCTGACATCCAGATTGGAATTTTTCTGGTGAAATCCAGTCTTCAAGCATTCTAAGTATTGATGCTCCCTAAGGGAATGGTAATAAGGATTACAAATATCAGATTCTTCATACCAATTTCAGCCTGAATGAAACATTTATAAAAATATTATTTCCTTATTTGTATATAACCTAACAACATGTGTGTATGGCTCATAGTTTTAAATCGTCTCATGTGGAGTAAATACATCTCTTTAGCTCTAAAAACTTCTATTTCACAATGTGAGAATGAAAATAATCGAGAATGAACCAAAAACCCCCAAAATTGGAGTAGGCATAAATCAAAAGTCTTTAGTCATCAACAATTCACTATGGTTTGTGGGAGTCATACCTTAAATGTTGCCTCTTTTACATGTGGCTTCATAGCAACAGATACCAAATTCCACCTTTCAGCCCATAAATAACTCTACCAAAGACCTTGTTCGGTTTCTGTGCTTTCAATGGATACTATTGAAGTCTATTTTTTAATTGTTATTTTTTAGTGTTTCCCCATTTCTGATACTAAAAAAGGCCAAGATGCTGAGAAATTTTACCCTCTAAAATTTATGTGTGATTTCATAGTCTGGCTAATCTGAACCAGATCCTCTTGGCATACTGATTTGCTCTGGGTTAATGGCCAATATGTGCATCTACTTTATTGACAGCCGGTTGCTTGTTCCCCATCTCCCACCCCTTGACTGGAGCAATCCAAATGGAAAAGGGGCCATACTTCAACAAGGAGAGATACCCTTTACATGCAGCAAGTCCCAGATCCTAGCATCTCCTAGTTATTTAACTAGGAGACGCTGATGATAATGATGCTGGTTTTTATTGTTTTTATTGCTTCTATTGTGGTTTTATACTGTTTTAATGTTCAATTTGTATTTTGTCGTTATGTGTACTGACATGTTGTAAACTGCCTTGAGTTGCCGATAAGGCTAAGAAAGGCGGCATACAAGTATAGCAAATAAATAAATAAATAAATGTGATTCTTGGAGCCCTTCCAGACAGGCCCTATATCCCAGGATTTGATCCCAGGTTTTCTGTTTATCCCAGATAATCTGAAGTGGGGACTCATATAATCTAGTTTATAGCAGAAAACCTGGAATCAGATCCTGGGATATAGGGACTGTCTGGAAGGGCCCTCAGTTTCACTAGATGGGGCTGAGAAAGGCTCATGTCTTGCAACTCCCATCAGTCTAAGGCAACGTACCCAGTAATGGTGACAATGGACTTAGACTTAAGCAATTTGCCAGTGTCTGCATTACTAAACATGGCGAACCAATCATCTGACTTTTCTAAGATGGGAGAAGTTTTTTTTTCTAGGTAAAGTTAAAGGTTTCCCTTTGACATTGAGTCTAGTCATGTCCAACTCTGGTGCTCATCTCAATTTATAGGCTGAACTGCCGGCATTGTCCGTAGACACCTCCAAAGTCATGTGGCCAGCATGACTGCATGGAGCATTGTTACCTTCCCACCAAGGCAGTACTTATTGATCTACTCACATTTGCATGTTTTCGAACTGCTAGGTTGGCAGAAGCTGGGCCTAATAGCAGGAGCTCACCCCACTCTCCAGATTAGAACTGCCAATTTTTGGTCAGCAATTTCAGCAGTTTAACCCGCTGCACCACCAGGGGGCCAATTCCCTAATAGCCATGGTGGTTGTGGATATTCTTATTCTACCAAAGTAAATTTCATAAACCCTGATAGATACAGAGCATCTTCCCAATCCATGCTCCAACTGAATTGTTAATCGGAGTGGTTTGTTGTAAGCAATCCCACCTGCTTCTCAAGCACGGTTGGCGGGGATGAGAGATAGGGCCTTCTCGGTGGTGGCTCCTCGGCTGTGGAATGCCCTTCCCACGGACATTAGGCTAGCACCATCTCTAATGGTATTCCGCAAAAAAGTGAAGACCTGGCTGTTCAAGCAGGCGTTCGAATAACTAGTGCAATTATTGGTAATGAACATATTTATTTATTATTTATTTATTTATTTACTATTCTTGTATACCGCTGCATCTCAAGCCCGAGGGCGACTCACAGCGGTTTCCAGAAAGCAAACAACAAAGCCAGTAAAAACAGCGGTAATCAATATATCATAACAATTAAACTACACAATTCCATTTCTAACAATAAACAAACATCAATACACAGTTATCACAAATCCCACCCCCGATCGCCTCATCATCCAAACGTGATCCAAATTCGTCGTCCATTGTTCCGTTCCTATGTTCAAATTACCAGAATTGCACTGAATTACTCAAACGCCTGCACAAACATCCAGGTCTTCAACTTTCTACGGAATGTCATGAGAGATGGTGCCAGCCTAACATCTACAGGAAGGGCGTTCCACAGCCGAGGAGCCACCACCGAGAAGGCCCTATCTCGTCCCCGCCAACCGTGCTTGAGAGGCCGGCGGGACCGAGAGCAGGGCCTCCCCGGAAGATCTCAAAGTTCGGGTGGGTTCATAGGCCGAGATGCGGTCAGATAGGTATCTTGGGCCGGAACCGTTTAGGGCCGGAACCGTTTAACATAGGAATGGAACAATGGATGACGAATCTGGATTATGTTTTTGATAATGAGACGACTGTGATCGGTTATCGTAGTAAGTGTTTATTGATTGGGTAATGTGTTAAGTTGTTAATTGCTGTTATATTTTGCATTGAATTATTGCTGTTTTTATTGGTTGTGAACCGCTGTGAGTCGCCTTCGGGCTGAGAACAGCGGTATATAAGTAAGTAAGTAAATAAATAAATAGTTACTAATCAGCTCAGTTTGTAATAACCCCTGTGCCGGCAGGACTGAAGACCGACAGATCTCAGGTTCGAATCCGGGGAGAGGCGGATGAGCTCCCTCTACCAGCTCCAGCTCCTCATACGGGGACATGAGAGAAGCCTCCCACAAGGAGGCTTTTATCATCCCACAAGGATGCTTTTATCATCCCACAAGGATGATAAAAACATCAAATCATCCGGGCGTCCCCTGGGCAACGTCCTTGCAGACGGCCAATTCTCTCACACCAGAAGTGACTTGCAGTTTCTCAAGTCGTTCCTGACACGATAAAAAAAATGTTTGTAATAAAGGGGTTGTATGACCTAACCACTGCAAGTGACTCTTCAGTGAATCCTAATAAAGCTGTGATACAGGACAATTAAAGGACAACATGGTAGGTTTAAGTATACATACATGACTAGCATAAATTTAGGAGTTGGTAATCCCATTCTAAGTCACAGTCTCGGGGCCAGTTCACATTTTCTCTTTTGTATTTGATCCTCAATTTGTAACTACAACGCAAGCTTTATAAGGTGTCAACTCTGAATGATGAATCTGAATTTAAATGAGCAACTTCTCATGTGGAAGAAGTGATGGGGAAGCATGTGTATTGCATAAAGGAGTGTGAGTTAAATGCATAATTCACAATTGGTATTTTTATGCAAGGACTTGGAAACAAACCCAAAAGGTAAAGTATCAATTCATTATCAGACTTCTGGAGTACAATGGTGAAATCTTGGTGGTTTCTTCCGAGATAGAGCCACTGAATGTGTTGATTGAATGAGACACTCTATTTGGAATGAATAATAGGATTTAGACCTAACTATTGAGACCTAAATATTATTGACTCTTTATTATTGTACAGTATGACCCGCCCCCCGCCCCCAATATCCATAGGGGATGCATTAATAGACTTTGCATGATTATGCACAATCATAAGTAAAGTGGGACCCTATTGAAATTAAAAACTTCTAATTTTAGAATGCCATAGAGTTGCAGTAGAAGATTTAGAAAATGCATAGAGGGTCCAGATTTTGTTAGACTTGGATAAATAAAACCACGGGGTATAGGGAGGTCATACTGTATACAACTGGCATCATGTAGCCTCTTGCATGCAAAAAAGAGGTGGGACTACTACCATGCAGGTTACTGGCACAACTGTGGCCCCAGTGCTTTCTATGTCAACTTATTCTGCTAATAAAGAAATAGGCATTCCTTTTAATGTCTAGTTTGATTTTTCTTTCCATTTACAATATGAGATCTCTCTTACTTTGCTGTAGGATATACCATCAAACACAGAGGTTATTTCATCCGGGGAAGAAACACTGACGACAATAGGATGAGAAGAAAGCAAGGAGTCATCTTTGAGCACAGGGAACACATCATCAATTAGTATTTGGTCCAACTGTGGAGAAAAATGAAAAGGAAGAGGCCAAATAACTATTACAGGATATGAAAGCAGTCATCCTACAACTCTGAATAAAGGTTTGTCAACATGGAGCTCTTAAACTGGAATCTTTCTGGAACAGAAACTGTTGCGGAAGAAGTAAGCAGATAGGTCAAGGAAGATTTTTCCACTGAAAGACTGGTGTACTTTAGTGTACTAGCTGGTGTACTAGCACCATGCAACTTACAGAAGAGAAACACACACACCCTGCATTTTACTAGGTCTCTATCCAGAATGTGTAAAAGTGGCATACTTGAATTCTCCAGACAAAACATTGAAAATAATAGACTTTCAAAAATAATAGACTTTAGTGGGTTGATTACCAATACATGAAATTTTTGCCATATCTCTTGAGAAGTTGTTCCACTGAACATCTGCAATATTTTTTCTAAGCTTTGAGTTATTATTATTTGATACACAACAAGATTAGTACACAACAAACAATATCGCTATGCTGGCTGTTGTATTGGATCACATGTTGAACACTTCCCAAGTTTTTAGGACTTTGTGATGTATCAGTGAATAATGTGTGCAGATCCGAGTAGGGTGGCCTTTTGCAGCTGACAAATGGTAATTTTGTCAGTGCTGATTGTGTTTAAGTGCAGGCCAAGGTCTTTAGGCACTGCACCCAGTGTGCCATTCACTACTGGGACCATCTTGACTGGCTTGTGCCAGGATCTTTGCAGTTCGATCTTTAAATTCTTGTATTGTGTCAGCTCTTCCAGTTGTTTCTCTTCAATCCTACTGTTGCCTGGGACTGGAACATCGATGATTCATACTTGTTTAACAAGATTGTAAGGTCAGGAGTATTGTGCTCCAAAACTCTATCAGTCTGAATTCGGAAGTCCCAGAGTAGTTTACTGTGTTCATTTTCTGTAACTTTTTCAGGCTTGTGATCCCACCAGTTATACCCACCACAAACAACAAGCTGGCACCCGATTTGGGGGGGGGGGTGTTGTTGTTGTTGTTTTTGTTGTTATTCCACTTTCTACAAAAGACACTCAAAACAGCTTTTGAAAGCATAATATTATCTTATAATTCAGGCTGATTTTAAGTGGTAGATCGATGCTGCCATTCAATTCACAAAACAGAAGCAGCAGTTAGTGGGTGGGTTGATATCATGTCATGATTTCTCAATGTTATGATCTACATTTTACTCACAGCTCAATTTGTATTCTAGGCAGATTATCATTACTGGAAAGCTTTTGCTAAACAGTTCCATCAAACTTTATGTGCAACAATACTAAGTACTGTAGGTACTGAAATACTTACCATTTGCCAATCTTTTTCTGCAGCATTTACACCCAGAAACTCAAAGAAGCTGGCAAATCCTTCATTTAGCCAAAGGTCTTCCCACCAATCCATGGTTACAATGTTTCCAAACCACTGGAATAAAAATCATTTTTATTTTTATTTTTAAAAAAAACCCACACATACAAAACAAATATCTGTTATCTTAACAAATATGTATATTACCCAGGGCTTTTCATCTAGTTCCTTCTCATATATATATTTCAAACATCCAATGTCCATGGTTATTAGGATGTCAATTTGTATTAAATATTATACATTGATAATTAATTTATCTAAAACTGACTGAAATTAAAGATCATAATAATGCTTATCATACTGAGATTGAAGTTAGTTTCAGCAGCTGAAACTCTTACCCTGCCATAGCTTTGAGGAATAGTAGTTATGATCTTTCACTTCGATTCTCAGTGCTTCATGGATTATTGCATTGTTCTGATTCAACACACTATGGTTAAATTGTTGCAATTGGTTTGTTTGAAATGAACCAGCTTCAAAGCACGATTTCCGAAGCTGATTTGTTTCAACATAGTGCAAGTTTAGACTTAAGGTTAAAATTGGTTGATTGAAATCCAAATCAAAATGTTTCAAACTCCTCATGGCTCCTTATGGCTTCCAAATTCCTTCCCTTTTCTTAGAGGAGAACAGTGGAGGAGAAAGTCTCCAAAACATCAAAGAAAGCAAGATTTTGTATACTGTTTCTTAGTTTCTTTTTCTCAAATTCTTGGGAAAATTTTAAATTAAAAAGTAGAACGATTAATAATCTACAAATAATGACTAAATAAATACTAGTTCAATCATAAATTAATAAATCCATAGATCAACTGTAACTGGTTTCTAATATGGTGAGCAATTGTCTTGTGTTTTTGTATAGAATCGCTATCTGTTTTGGTTTGCTTCATTCGTACGGCCCAGTTTTTGTTTTTGAGTGCTGCTTCCAAAAATGGGGCCTTTCTGAATGAGCTGTTTCATTCTTTCATCCGATTGAACAAATTTGTTTGGATCATTGGCCAACATGGGCAGCCTTCTCAGATTCCCCTTCTCCTCAGTTTTAGGAGTAGAAGGATGAAAATCATCACACATGGAGGGCACATTGACCACTCTTAGTCCTCCAAGTTTTCTAACATTTGGGTCATCCCCTGATTTTTAGGGATTTTTTTCTTTCTATAAATCAAATCTCCTTAAAAACATTACCTCTTTCCCTTCCTCTCAATCTGCAGAGGAGCCCTGAGGTTAAAGGCAGGGCCTAAGATACTACTGATTCTGAGAGGTTTTCCTCTGGGTCTGCAGAGACGACCTATAGCCTGGTGACATCACTGTTTTCTTGAGCTCTGATTGGCCCAAACACCTTTTTCTCCTCCTCTGACGCATGTGGAAGAACTCCCTGGGCCACGTGAGGAAAGCCACATGGCCCGAAAACCAAACAAAGAAATGGAAACCGTGCAACTTTTTTTCTTTCATTTCACCTTTTGTTTTATCTGAAAATGGCTCCTTTTTTCATGCCATCCAAATGGATGGTACAAAATGAATACCCGAATGAAACAAGTGAAACAAATACTGCACCTACCTCTAGTGAGCACATTTTAGTGCAACAGTATGCTATAGCAGTCCCTAGCAGTAAACCACTAACTAATAATGTAGGATGTATTGGAGAGAAAGCCATATCCTTTTGGTCTTTTGAAGTTTTAAAACAAAGAAACACATTTCACATTCAACAAACAAGTGTATAGAGAAGAATCCAATTATTTATGAGATAAATTGATATCAATTTTCTTGGGTTGAGTGGTCTTTTTTTGTGCCATCATGGTAAAATATTTTGAAAGCTCTACCTGGTGAACAAGTTCATGGGCAACCACAGCTGCTACTCTTTGCTTGTTAGAAGCAGCAGATTCTTGAGGATCATAAAGTAGATTGGTTTCTCTGTAAGTGATCAGCCCCCAGTTCTCCATGGCTCCAGTGCCAAAATCTGGAATGGCTATTTTATCTACATAGGGAAAAAAAGAAGATTTGGTTGAGAGCTGACATAATTTCATCTCCCTCTAATCCCAGAACAACTTGGAGCCTGCCTCCCTTCCCTTGATGCTCTTCCAGTCAAGGTATCTGGGCCTAATCGTAGTCCTTTTGCCTTTGCATGAGTATGTGATGGATGTAGTGCTCATTGTATCATTGGGGAGAGTTCTTACTCTGGCTACTGCCATTGACACCTGAAGCTGAGGAGTGGGGATTTTTTTTTGTCATGTCAGGAGCAACTTGAGAAACGGCAAGTAACTTCTGGTGTGAGAGAATTGACCGTCTGCAAGGACCTTGCCCAGGGAACGTCCGGATCATTTGATGTTTTTATCATCCTTGTGGGAGGCTTCTCTCATGTCCCCGTATGAGGAGCTGGAGCTGATAGAGGGAGCTCATCCGCGCTTTCCCCAGATTCGAACCTGTGACCTGTCGGTCTTCAGTCCTGCCAGCACAGGGGGTTTAACCCACTGCACCACCAGGGGCTCCAGGAGTGGGGATAAGATAACAGAAGACAGAGCTCTATGCTTATCATGCGACCTGCCCTATGCCTGGTAAGGCCTTTATCACAGTACACATAGCACTATTTTCCATTTTAATTGCCATAGTGATATCCTGTTAAATTTTGGAGTTTGTAGTTTAATGAGGTCCAAGAGCTCTCTGGTTGAGAATACTAAATGCCCCTCCCTAAGCTGAAAATCCCAGGATTCCATACAATGTTGTTATGGATGTTGAAGTGGAATAATAGCACTGCATCAGCGTAGTGTGATAAAGCTCTTAGCTATGCTGTCGTCCTTGGATGTGGAAAAGCAGTGTGAGATAAATTTGTGGCTGATGGACAGGTGTCAGTCCACAAACTGACAGAAAGGGAGGGAGGGTAACCAATGGATACAAATATGTTATCAGTCACTGAGACACTAATATAAAATAATTGCCACTTTCACATCAGAATGTGTAGGAAACACCATGGTAGATGACACTGTCTCATCTCTGTTATATTGGATTCATCTGCAGGCCTAGCTAATCTAGGCGTGCAGATGAAGGAATGGCAAGAGGCACAGAATTTCTTATGGCTACCCTACAGCTGGTTCTTGTCTGGATCCAAAGGCTTTCCCCAAAACTGAAGCTTGCCTGGGATCTAAGCTTGATTATGTGGCTGACTTGTTCTTAATGGTTCTATAGCAAAGGTGGAAATTATGCCACTTTCCTGATACTACTAAAATAGAACTCTCAGCATGTCTTGTCATTGTTCATGCTTATTGGGAACGGCAGTCAACAGCATCTGGAGAGCTGAACATTTCTTTCCTCTGTTCACATAATGTGAAACTTGATACCTATCTTCCTTAATCAAACATAGGATATGGAATCGAATAAACTACATGTGGAGGCATGTGTTCTGTAACAGGTCTGGAAAATCTGTAAACTTTAGATGATATGGAACTACTACTCCTACTACCTTCTACTACCAGCCAGGCAGGCCGGGGCTGATGGGAGCTGCTATTGAGCTGCTATTTATCAGGGTTTGGGCCATTTAAACCACTGGACTGTAAGACCTGTAATCATGCTTCAGTGCAATGTAAGTTTGATATGTTTGATATATTTTAATATGTTTTAATCATTTGAAAGACTATTTTAATGGATATATATGTGTTTTCTTTTACACATAATCTATAATATTGTGTTTTATTGATATTGCTCTTATCTGAATCTGGCACTGAATTATTGCCATAGTCTGTAAACCACCCTGAGTCCCCCTTTGGGTCTGAGAAGGGCAGAGGTTAAGTACAGTAATAAATAAATAAATAAATAAATAAATATTCAACTATATCTGGAGTTCCAATGCACTTTTGTCAGAAATCATAGCCTCATAAAAACAGACACCCAGCTACTATTATGATACAAAGCCTGAAGTGGGCACAGTTTGCCCCACATATATCAGGGACACTTTCTACTGCCATATTGGTGATGCCAAACTAAGCTCTACATCTTCCTGTGATTATGCTGTAAAAGAATTCTGTAAATGGGGTTAAGAAATATTTATTACCAAATTAAGTAAACTAAATCCTTCTGCAATGAACAACATCTGCTTCTACTCACCACAACACGAGGGGTCATGTCTTCATGGCTGGCAATCAATACTAGTTTAAATGAGAATTATGGACTCTGCATTCCTCAGAGAGGCCTAACAGAGCTGCTACTTGGTTTAGCTGAGAATTCAAATTGATTCCGATATGGGCAAAGCTAAAATGTAGCTCACTGGTTTAGCAACAGTAGCACTAAATTGGTCTCTGTTTCATTTTGGGTCTCTCAACACACAACTGATATAATTTTAGCTTTATTTATTTATTTTTATCAACATTAACTCAGCTCACCTCTATGCTTATCTCAATGTTTAAATATTTTGTTTTAATGATATATGTAAAATGTTACTTAATTGGGTTGCTGTGAGTTTTCTGGGCTGAATGGCCATGTTCCAGAAGCATTCTCTCCTGCTGTTTCACCCACATCTATGGCAGGCATCCTCAGAAGTTGTGAGGTATATTGGAAACCAGACAAGGGGGCTTTATATATCTGTGAGAGGTCCAGGGTGGGAGAAATAACTCTTGTCTGTTGGAGGCAAGTGTGAATGTTGCAATTAATCACCTTGATTAGCATTGCAAAGCCTTGCAGCTTTGAGACCTGTTCGATTTTAGAGACCATATAACACCAGAACTGTAGCAGCTTCCAATCTGCTTTTGAGCTCAAGTAAAAAAGTGTTACCTTACAAAGCCCTAAATGATTTTTTTGGGGGGTGGGTCAAGATATCTGAAAGACCACTTTCTTCACATTATCCTGTCAGAAATTTGAGATTTTCAAAAGAAGCCATATTGAGTAAACCAACACCTTGTGAAGTTAGCTTGGTGGGTGTACATAATTGGACTTTTTCTGTAGCAGCACATTGACTGTGGAATCATCTTTGTTAAGCTTCTGTGAGGTTCTGCATGGCAATCAATATTAGAAAGTGTTGGTTTAACTCTTTCAGACCTGGATCCTAGAATTGTTTTAGACCTCATTTAGGAGTTTTTAAAAGAGTATTTAAGGGTTCATCTATATGGTACATTAAAGGGGGCACATGTAACACAATTGGGCGAGTTACTGCTAAACTCAGGTTATAATCAGTGATCTGACATATTTGTTTACTCATCAAACATGTGATACATTTTAATACAGGCATAATCTCAGCACTGCTTTAGTGACTCAAGTACCACTTACATATGCTCTTCAAGCAGTTCATGGAAAAATAACAAAATGATTACCATCAATAAAAAACGAGATAAAGAAATTACAATAATTACCTAGTTTGGGAAGAGAATAGCTCATATTGAAGTAATCTTCAAAGAAATTAAATACCGCTTCAGTTACATTTGCTGCATATTCAGCTGTATGTATCTGTTGAGGCTGGGCATAAATGCGAAGCTGTTTGAAAGAAAAATAAGAGATAGATCCAGAGATATTCCAAGTGTAACTCAATGACCTGTATCCACAGATGTCACTGAGGTAAACTAGGAGTTTCATATTTTAGAGTGAGTACAAGGATGAAGTCCAATGCAGTATTCACTGCACAAACAGTTGTGCAAAGGTGTTGTACGACCAGCCATTCAACTTCATGCACAAGCAGTTGTCAAAACAGTTTTACAATCTGTTGTACATCTCTTGCAACTCTCAACAACCATTTGTGCCACTACATCATGGAACAGCTTCTGCTAAGTTCTAGTTCTGTGCAACTGCAGGAGATGGTGTTTTTACTTTGCTTCCATTCAATTGGTTATAGGGCTCTATTGGTTTAGCTCAAATATACCTTTGAGCAATTCACTTGTAACATAGGATTCACTTTTTTGACCTTGAATGCAAAGAGTCTAGCAGGAAGCACCTACTCCAAACTATCAAGTATGTCAAATACATATAAATATATTATCATTTTCCATCAGAAAGTTGTAAGGTTAAGACATGTGTAATCCAATAACTTTTCCCACAGGCTATAGAAGGGGATAAATGACCATTGACTTAGGTCAACAGATAGATCAGAAGTTAAAGTGTTGTCAAACTGCATTAATTTTACAGATGCATCCTTGGAGAACAGAGCTAACCTTGGTGTACTGACCCACGTTTTCACCTGCTGCTCCCCATTTTAGGTGCAATTCTAAAAAAAGAATATTTTAAAATTGTAAGATGACACAAATAGAGAAGAAAACGAGTACAAGTGTAATGCAAGCTGTACTAAGTCTTAAAGCCAAAACTCCCAAGAATACTGAAGAAACTGCAGATCAGCAAAACCATGTAGGAAATAAGATCTCTTCTGAAGATAAGGAAACTGAGGCATATTATTTTGGTAACCTATTAAGACATCTTATCTTGAAAGAAACCAACTTTGTCACTGTGTGAGTAAAGTCCAACTAGTCCAATGAGCTACTAAAACTAATGGAAGTCTTCCATTTAATAGATGGCCTAATGGGAGCCTAACAAATCAGACTTTAGTTCTATTCAAGTATTCAATAATTCTTACAACTGAGGAAGAAAATGGAGATGTGCTCTCCTTAGCCTTGCCTGTCATATCACCATTCCTTCACCCATTGCTTTCCAGGTGTGAAGGAAGAAGGGTTGACCTAAGACAGTTTGGTGCCTGAGATGAAAGACAAGATGGCACCTCTTCCTCCCAATCCAGGTAGACTACCAGTTGAATCTAGCTTCAGTACAAATGATGACATTATTCCCCATCACACCTGAGGCATCCGGCTAGTTTAGGAGGTCCAGGTTAAGCTATGTGTTTCAACCATGAATTACAAGTAACATTGTTATTTCTAATAAGACCCTAATAATATTACATTTCAGAAGAAATATAGCACGTGGAAGCATCACATTTCATTTATACTAGTAATGCTTTCTGGTTTTTTTTTTTTTTACTATTCTAAAGCCTTTGACTTTGCGGATTATAATAAATTGTGGCAAGTTCTTGGTGGTATGGGGATCCCGAGCCACATTGTCTGTCTCCTGAGGAATCTGTATAATGACCAAGCAGCAACAGTAAAAACTGACCATGGAACAGCAGACTGGTTCAAGACTGGGAAAGGAGTATGGCAGGGCTGTATACTCTTACCCTACCTATTCAACTTGTATGTAGAACACATCATGCAATGCACGGAGCTTGATGAATCCAAGGCTGGAGTTAAGATTGCTGGATGAAACATTAACAACCTTATGCAGATGATACCACTTTGATGGCTGAAAATGAGGAGAAGCTGAGGACCCTTCTAACCAAGGTGAAAGAAGAAAGTGCAAAAGCTGGGTTGCAGTTAAACATAACACCCCCCCCCCCCCAAGATTTTGGCACCAGACTGATTGATAACTGGCAAAAAGAGGGAGAAAACATGGAGGCAGTGACAGACTTTGTATTTTTAGGTGCAAAGATTACTGCAGACAAAGACTTCAGCCAGGAAACCAGAAGACGTTTACTTCTTGGGAGGAGAGCAATGACCAATCACAATAAAATAATGAAGAGTAGAGACATCACACTGGCAACTAAGATGCCCATAGTTAAAGCAATTGTATTCCCTGTTGTAACCTTTGGATATGAAAACTGGACCATAAGGAAGGCTGAATGAAGGAAGATAGATGCTTTTGAACTGTGGTGTTGGAGGAAAATTCTGAGATTGCCTCAGACTGCAAGAAGATCAAGCCAGTCCATACTCCAGGAACTAAAGCCCAACTGCTCACTGGAGGGAAGGATATTAGAGATAAAGATGCAGTATTTTGGCCACACAATGAGAAGACGGGAAAGCTTGGAGATGAGAATGATGCTGGGGGAAATGGAAGGAAATAGGAAGAGGGACCAACCAAGGGCAAGATAGATGGATGGCTTGACTGGCTTGACTCTGAAGGAGCTGGGGGTGGCAATGGCCAACAGGGAGCTCTGGCATGGGCTGGTCCATGAGATCAAGAGGAGTCAGAAGTGACTGAATGAATAAACAAAAAAGTAATTCTTTCTAGCTACATGACAGTAAGGCCTCCATATTTGTGGGATCAGTATCCATGTTTAATTTATCCACATCTCACAAAATACGTGCTGGAAATAAAATACATTAATAGGAAACTAAAGGAGATTGCAGCAGCATGAGCAAGCAAGGTAACCAGACCAAAGTTTTTAGCTAAGAGAATCATGAAGATATATATTTAATATGGTAAGAATCGTGTATCCATAGGACCAGGATCCACAGTTTCATTTATCCTTCTCCAACTAAATACGTCCTGCTTCTAGGCATTTTCTAGATGCTGTTTCTTTCAGTTAAATCCCACTGTCAACATTAAATGCAGTGCAGCAATGACCTAAGGATTTAAAAAGGAAAAGTAGCAAGGAAACAGAAGATCTTTCTACACAAGGTTTCTATTCTTCTCCAAAAGAATGAAAGGGGTATAATCATCCACAAGAAGATCTTTAATTAAAGCAATTGCTTTGTTTTCCTTCTGCAAAAAAAGAGAAAAATACTGTGGAAATTTTATTATTGAACATAGGACTTACAGGAATTCCTCGGGAGGAATATCTTTCTGTAAAACTAAACTGGTGCACAGCCCAACACACCAAGTAAGTGCTCATTGGGACAGATTTTTGGAATGTTGTCCGCATCCAATTATCATCCAGTGAAATATTTTTCTGGAGAGAGGAGAAACAGAGAGAAATAATTACACGTGATATATTGTTTACAAGTAAAGTATAGCTTTGAGAAGAACTTTCTATTAAGATTCCAGTATGGGAGTGAATTACACACATCATATGAAGAATTATTTATGTTCATACATCCATATGCTTCAATTATTCAGATTCTGTCAATAAGTCCAAAATCTTGTATTATGACAGAAGGGGTGAAATTTTCCATAATGATTTTATGCATCCCTACAATTTCTCCCTTGGACTGTAGAATTAACTGCCATGGCTCAATGCCTGTGATTACTGGATTTTTAATTTGGTAAGGCAAACCCGACTGATGAGATTGTTTTATGGTTTGAATAACTGTTTTGATATTTGGTGATGTACTGTTTTTAATATGATTTATGTTTAAAGTATGGTTTTAATATTGTAGTTGTAAGGCATTGAATTTTTGCCATTATCTATGTGTAAACCGCTTTGAGTCCCACTAGGGGTGAGAAAAGCAGTATATAAATGCTGTAAATAAATAATAATTCTTTGACAAAGAAGGCTAAAAACCTTACAAAACTACAGTTCCCATGATTCTATAGTATGACCCCAGGTAGATAAAGTAGTGTTTAACTGCATTACTTTTACAGTGTAGATGCACCCTTGGTTAACCTTTTTCATTAAAGCCACAGCCACCCCAAACTGTAACTGTCATCATGAGGAGTCACTTTTGTCCCACAATTTATTTTGGTTGCCCTTATCTGTAACTTTTCAACTTCTTTATCATCCTTTCTGTGGTGTGGTGACCAAAACATAACACATATTCCAAGTGCAACTGCATCATAGCTCTGTAGATTGATAAGATGCATATGATAAGGACAGTTTTTAAAAAACCCCTTAGTCTAAACCTTTTCCTTCTTCACAGCAGTTACCCTGGGGAGCCCCCAGTGGCACAATGTATCAGTGGTTTGAATCCAGGGAGAGCAGGTTGAGCTCCCTCTGTCAGCTCCAGCTCCTCATGTGGGGACATGAGAGAAGCCTCCCACAAAGATAGTAAAACATCAACATCTGAATCCTTTGTTGGGACGTGTTATCTGCCCCCAATTGTTTCCAGTCTGGAATTCACCTGTTTCCCCCTGTTTTTAGAATGGGGAAATTATTTTTATGTAAACTTTTTGGAGGATGTCTTTAGCCAGAGGTTTACTTAACAAAATTTGTATTTTAATTGTGCTCTTAGCTTGGAAATTTCTAAACACTTCCTTCAACGTTATGTGTTGGCATTGAACTCAACTTGGCTTTTCACTGGAAGCTCATTTGGCTGTAAGCCATAAAACTTTTTCCTACTATCACTACCAAAGAAGTATGCTATTGACTACAATGAAAGACTTGGAAGCTGAGCCACGAGAGTTAAAAATAATCAGTTGTGAACTTATGAACTTCATTGAGGAAAAAATGGGCATCTACTGAGAATATGTTCCAAAATGACAAACACACTGGCATGAATTCTATTGCTAGCGCTAACTAGAACATACTCACTGAATCAGTGATTACTCGGTAAATCAATATTTAGGTAAGTTCCATGGATTATGTGGGCCTGTTCTACTAGGGAATAAAAACAGGATTCAAACTTCTGTCCCTCACCCAGTTATTTTGATAGGAGTCTCTCTGATAGGCCACAGTCTACCTATTGCTGCAGAAGCACTGGAGAATCTCAACCTGTGGGCCAGATTCCATTTCAGAGGTATTTTCATGGGCCACATTCCAGTGATAGGGAGCAAGAAAGTGGCACCAATAAAATAGCCATATTTTAGGCCAAAGCTTATACTTTCATTAACTGTAAAGGTATTTCAGCACTTCAGAACAAGAGGTAGTAAAAAGTTGATTTCATTGGTCAGGGATTAGGTCTTCCCAACCCAGATAGTGACATTAAGACCTCAGGATGGATGATTGTAGTTTCAAGAGCTGCAGTTCCTGAACTGTAGATTAATAGAATGTTTATTTTATTTTTTTTACAAAAAGGCCACATTAGCTTTAGAAGAACAGCCTGACAAATGTCATACTATTCTCCCACACCCCAGATACACTACTCAAACGTTGCTCATCTCTTATCTCCCCTGGTGGATCTTTCTTTCAGGATCCACTTTTCAGTGTGCTTGAAACATCACAAGGCAGTATCTCCAGAGAAGCCTTACCTTTTCAAACATCTCTAAGGGCCTTCAAGAAAGGACTTCAGGAAGGGAGGAAGGTGTCAGTTGAAAGCTTTGTGAGGCTGGATGATAAACATCCAGCTTTAGAAGAGGAACAGTATGAGCGAAGTCATACTATTCCCCACACCCTAGATATACTATTCAAATATGTGGATGCATGCACATACTAACATGCGAGGAAACACATATTGACTAGCTTTGCCCATCTCTTATCTTCCCTGGTGGATCTGTCCTTCAGGATCCACTTTTCAATGTACTTCAGGCACCATAAGGTGGTATCTCCAGGGAAGACTTTCTTTCTCAAGTGTTTCTAACGGACTTCAAGAAAGGATAGCATCATTTGAAAGATTTATCAGGCTGGATGGTAAACATATTTCAGCCTCTTACTGGTGGCTCTCCATTTCCACATTAAATGATTGCTACAGCACATGTGATTACTTTGTAGCTGTTACTAGGTTGCATACTGTATATAATTCACACAAAGACAAAGACATTAAATGGTTAAATGTTTACCTCCTGTGGCATGTTTGACAGAGCTTGATATGATTTCTCATGGATGATAGAGATAGTATAAGTTGCCTTTTTGTTAGGTTCATCAAAACAGGGAAATGATTTCCGAGCATCAGTTGGTTCATGATCAGTGGCAGCTATGCTCCTTTTGAAACAAATGAAGATGATTACATCAAACCATTGGTTATGAGTTGTCAATAAAACCAATAACCATTAAAACACAGCTAACAAAGTATTTCATTGGAAATAAATAAGTAAGTAAATGGAAGGAAGATTCTTATTCCTATGACTCACATTTGAATAACTGAAAGATATTGTTCTCCAAAATATATATGTTTAAGCCTTTAAACATAATTTATTTTCAAAACCAAAATAAGATATAATTTTGTTTGCATTTAGTGCTGCCACTAAATGTAAACAAAAACCATGCACTTTCCAATCCCCTTCTGATTTTCTTCATCCTTTAGTGTCTTGGACTGTGAGAAGATCAAACCAGTCCACACTCCAAGAAATAATGCCCAGCTGCTCACTGGAGGGAAGGATATTAGAGGCAAAGATGTAGTACTTTGGCCACATAATGAGAAGCCAGGAAAGCTTGGAGAAGATGATGATGCTGGGGGAAATGGAAGGAAAAAGGAAGAGGGGCAAGACCAGGGGCAAGATGGATGGATGCTATCCTTGAAGTGACTGGCTTGACTCTGAAAGAGCTGAGGGTGGTGATGTCTGACAGGGAGCTCTTCTATGAGCTGGTTCATGACAGACAGTTAACTCACACCAACCTTTTTTCCTGGGTTTCTTTTTTTATTATTCATTCAATCACTTCATTCAGAAGTGACTGAATGAATAATAAAAAAGAAACCCAGGAAAAAAGGTTGGTGTGAGTTAACTGTCTGCATTTGGCTTGGTTCATTGTGAATTGTGTGAAGTGATCTAGATGTGTGTTGTAACTGGGTGTTCCAGTTCAATCTACCAAATTAGTATGCTAAGAATGAGCATTTATACTTGTGCAAAAAAAAGTATCTGTGCCTGAAACAATTATGCAATTTGCTTTGGTTTGGAACATTTTCCTTCTTTCCCCATATTTACTATGTAACAGTATACTCTGAATTGTGATCAAATCATAGAGTATGTTATGTTATTTATTTATGTCATACACATGTACCCCGCCCTTCTCACCCCCGAGGGGTAAATTAGGGCTGCCTCACAGCAAGCACCATTCAATGCCATCACAATCATAAAAACATTCAACAAATTAATTAAAACAACATTAAATGCTATTCCCACATTGGGTCCATCTATTTATTTATTATTTATTATTTACATTATTTATATTCCGCTCTTCTCACCCCGCAAGGGACTCAGTGTGGATTACAATGTACACATATATGGCAAACATTCAATGCCAAGACACACAACATAGACAAGACAGTCAGAGGCTATTTAACTTTTTCTGGCTGCCAGGGTAGCTGTCGCTTTCATCATCAATCTGTGACACTGATGAAGTACTTCCGCATTCCCCACATGCTTTTTGCTGGAGTGCATTGCTGGAGTCTTTTTATGGCCTCGTAAATTTTGTTAAATTAGCCTCCCCACACATAGGTGGTACCTAAATTTCCTACTTGACAGATGCAACTGTCTTTCGGGTTGCAAAGGTCAACAACAAGTTACACAATTGGTTGGACGCTCACTCCGACCTGGGCTGGCTTCGAACTCATGACCTTTTAATCAGAAGTGATCTCAATGCAGCTGACACTCAGCCAGCTGCACCACAATCCCAGTGCTATCTCTGAGTACATCTACACTACAGAATTAATGCAGTTTGACACCACTTCAACTGTTGTGGCTCAATACTATGGAATCTTTGCTGTTTTACAAGATCTTTAGGTTTTTCTCCCAAATAATGCTGGTATTTCACCAAACCACAACTCTCATGATTCAATAGCATTGTTCCACTGCACACCGTTTTTAATCGTTAGCAGAAATATGGTAACTTTTGAAAAGAAACTAATATCCCCTGCCCCACTATCTTATATATGTTTTGTGGGTGATGGATGGCTTGAAGCAACTTGTCAAAAACTTCCTAGGAACAGTACATCCATAATGGGAACATTGATCACTCTCAGATAACCCTGTCTTTCATTGTGCCAGGGGCAAAGTGTAATAGGAATCTTGCATCATTTGGCATATTGATAGGCTATAGCAAAAGAAACTGGTATGAGGTACGTTTGGTATAAATTGATGTGAGGATGTTTACCTTAACGAGTGATACCTGAACATCTTACCTGCCCAGAATATAAATGACTGAGAAAAACAATGTCATTAAAATTGTTGCCAAGGTTTGCAGAAAACATTGGCTCTCTAAATGGAATTACACAGTTCTTATCAACATAGTGCTGCTCGCTGATGTGGCATGATTGATGGGAGAACACATTGATGGGAGAACACAGCTAAGCTCTCTCCTCAATTAATTTTGAAACTGGAAGTTTTCCAGCACCATTCAAACACCTTGAGCTATATAAAGGTAGTTTTCATTTTCTTCATCCAAAAAATAAAATAATAAAAAAGTAATTATAGGCATGGCTATAGCTTTGAACTTTCAGAACTTTGGAAATGTTATCTCAACACTCCAATTCTTCGGTGATTTTTGACATGTTTTCCCTGCAGTATTTTAAATGCTTCACTGATCACAAGGAACTTGCAGACCCATATTAGGGTAGTAGTGGTTTAAACTAGTGAGTTTGAATATTTATAACTAGGGCACAAATTCAATGGATGGGATGAACAGGAACTGTGGCCATGAAACTGGGCTGTACCTTTGGCAACAAAATGCTGCACGGCAGAGAAGGAAACAAGTTCGACCACTAGAATGGAGAACCAGTGCATGGGCTGTACTGGGAATTACTTTGCCTAAATTCAAAGGTCACTATGTCAGGCACCAGAAATAGTTAAGTGACACGTTCTTTGGGACCCTGGACAGTTCCAATTGGAAAGACCAGCTATTTCAAAGCAACTTAAAAGATGGCAATAGATACGTTATCATTCAACCTATGTGGAAATTTATGATATGCCTCTCTCAGTTTAGATCCTCAGCAATTCACACTTTTTTGCTCTTAGAAACCGGAAGGCACATGGTTTTGCTTTAATGTGTATATGGAATAGCTGTCCTGGTTCCCCTTACCCCACCCTGCCAAAAAACCCTACAAATAAAATATGAAGAAGTTGATTTTCATTTTTGAAGAGTCATATCACAAAAGGTCCTGATGGCAAAACCAGCACCTAGTTCTCCTGGTTCCTTGGTCTCTTTTTACTAAGGGTAATAAACATTTCTTCCTAGTAAAAGGTAAAGGTTTTCCCCTGACATTAAATATAGTCGTTTCTGACTCTGGAGGTTGGTGTGCATCTCCATTTCTAAGCCAAAGAGCCGGTGTTGTTCATAGACACCTCCAAGGTCATGTGGCCAGCATGACTGCATGAAGCGCTGTTACCTTCCTGTCATATTGATCTGCTCACATGTTTTCAAACTGCTAGGTTGGCAGAAGCTGGGGCAAACAGCGGGAGCTCACTCCACTCCCGAGATTTGAACTGCCAACCTTTCCTTCAGCAAGTTCAGCAGCTCAGTGGTTTAACCCGCTATGCCATAGGGGGCTCATTCCTTCCTAGTCACCCAAACAAAATATTTGGAATTCGTCTCATACAAATTCACTACAAGCAAAACTTAAAGCAAAAACCCAAGTTTGGGTGAGTGGGATCAAATATCTGAATATTAAATTGTGGAAAATATGCTTTTAGATAAGGAAGGTAATACAGAAGATGGAAAGGAAACTTATTTTTTGAGTGGTGGCTTACATTCATTAGCTATTCAAGCAACAACATAAAATCTACATCAGATATGTTATGCTTACTTGCAATTGTTTTAATTTAAGGTAACTTATTTAAATCTTGGATAGCAAATGCCATCTTTGTATTTATATTTAAAATAAGGTTGTTATTCTATACCATATATACATTAAATCTTTGAGCACAGAAGCAGCAGCAAGAAATTCATAAAATGCATTTTGCAAAATGACCTCTCAGTTATTTGCTGCTCATTTCTCATCTGCGTGGAATTACAACATGATACAAGGAAAAAGGATACAAGCCCCATACAATGTCAACTGGTTGCTTCCATATCTATGGAAAGTGACTATCTCATGTTGTAGTCTATGTGTTAAAGGAACTACCAAGGTCTTAACATTCAGCACATGGGATAGCTCCATTCCAATGGAGGCAAAAACCCTAAATCGGTGGTTCTCAACCTGTGGGGTCCCCAGGTGTTTTGGCCTACAACTCTCAGAAATCCCAGCCAGTGTTACCATCTGTTAGGATTTTAGGGAGTTGAAGGCCAAAATATCTGGGGACCCACAGGTTGAGAACCACTGCCCTAAATGGACTCACTGCTCAACTGATATGGCAACCATTGACTTTTATCAGCCCCATAGAAATGAATGGGACCAAACACAAGCCTACTTAAAAAGCCCCCATTCCTTTGAAGGAAAGCAGGAGCATTTCACACTAGATCAGAGGTTCTCAACCTGGGGGTCCCCAGATATATTGGCCTTCAACTCCCCAAAATCCTAACAGATGGTAAACTGGCTCAGATTTCTGGGTCTGGGGACTCACAGGTTGAGAACCACTGACCTAAGCAGCTGAGATGCCCATTTCTCAGCAAGACTTGATAGACAATGAAGAATTATCACCTCCTAGAGAAGAAGACCCACAGGTTGAGAACCACTGCATTAGATTATAATCAAGAATAATGACAGTATAAAGTTCTCCGTGCTCATAAGAGTTGAAAGCCTCACCCACCGGCATGCATGCATCAAAACTTGATTGCTTGCCTCTTTCATCTATATACCATGTAATGGCAGTAAAAACAAAATGTGGTAAATCATTGTCAAAATATGTACTGGTATATTAAGTCATGCTACAATAAAACTCTGTCAGGGCACATCCTGAACCCATTTTATAGCATAATAGGAGCTGGACCTTACACAAAGCCTGGAGACTTTATTATAACTCTAAGAATTTCAGATGCTATTGGACTATAACTCCCATTAATCCTGGACAGCATGGTCAATAGTGAGGTATGATGAGAGCTGCGGTTGCATTCTAACAATATCAGGGGGGCACATATTCCCTATTGCTAGCCTAAGCACGGGGCCTTGTAAATGGAAGTCAGAAGCAAGCTTGTGTAAATACACTCTGAATATTATCAGCACAGATCTGTAACTGCATCCAGCTATTGTTTCCAAAATAAAAAAAAGACTGAAGCTGTGAAGCTTCTCCCCCCCCCCCACCCTCTCTCTTCCCCACTTTGCATTTGGCCAAAGTCAGTTAAATAATCAGTCCAAAAGACAAATTAATTTTGGATTGAAACTGTGCTGTGCTGAAATAAAGGAGGCTAAATTCATGAAAGTCATCTGTAGAATAGATTCCTATGGCTGTTTTTCCATCTACAAAACAGTTCTCTCTGTGGAATTAATTTGTATTAATTAAGTCTCTTATCTGGAAATAGATCCCAGTCAGAGGTCTGATAGAAGCGGTGTTTCAGTTAGTCATTATATGTGGTTATGTTCTTGATTTATAAAAATTAGTAATTGTGCACACATTGTAATATCTGACAGGGCAATCTCGGAAATCTGATGAGTGAATTACAAAAGGCAGGCAAGTCATAATTAGAGCAGGACAGCAGAACTTTTGCCTTGGACTTGTCACATGATGTCATTCCCTAGTGAGAGACTGATGGAGTTCAGGGTTGTTGTTTTTTAACCAAAGGATATCATTAAAGGATTATTTCTGTTTGTAAAATAAATGTTTTTCCAAGCTATTTACCACATGTTATGACTAATTGGAGCTACCAAAATACTTTGGGCTGGCATTGGTGCCTCAGATTCAATTATGACCTCCTCCTTTTACTTTTGTACAATTGACCATGCTGGGAAAGATGTATGTGCCAGAAAACACTTTTCACCAGCTTCAGCTTCCATGCCAGTGTTCCCATCATAAGAATATTTAAAGTGAAAGTTGAAAGTGCAATGACCCAGGACTGTTTACCTACAATGGCTATTTCTTTGTGTGATATGTGATTTTATGTGCTGTGTTTAATAATGTTTAAGGTTTTATTGGGGGAGGGTAAATTTTGATGTTTTATACTGTTTTTTATCAAAGGCATTGAATTGTTGCCAACACTGTGAACTGCCCTGAGTGCCCTTCAGGGTTGAGAAGGGTGGTATACAAATATCACAACTACATAAATAATAAAGAAATATACCATGCAGCTGTGGACAAGTCTACATAGGGACCACCAAACGCAGCATTGCCCAAACATGAATCAAGGAACATGAAAGGCACTGCAGTCTACTTCAACCAGAGAAATCAGCCATAGCAGAGRACCTGATGAACCAACCTGGATACAGCATATTATTGGAGAACACAGAAATGCTGGACCACTCTAACAAACACTATGTCAAACTACACAGAGAAACCATTGAAATCCARAAGCATGTGGACAATTTCAACAGAAAAGAAGAAACCATGAAAATAAACAAAATCTGGCTACCAGTATTAAAACAGTAAATAAAGACAGGGTAGCTCCAGACAAGAAATAATCAGYAACAGCTAATCACCTCTCAACAAAGGATGCCCCCAGGCAGTAAGAAGTCACACTTGAAAACTGCAAGGCCATTAATTGCTAATCAAGGTGGCTAATTGAAACATTTACATCTACCTCCAACAGACAAGAGTTCTTTCTTCCACCCTGGACATTCCACAGATATATTACCCCATTTTCCTAGTTTCCAACAGACCTCACAACCTCTGAGGATGCCTGTCATAGATGCAGGTGAAACATCAGAAGAGAATGCTTCTGGAACTTGGCTAAGCAGACCCTTGAGCATTCTAACTGGAGATCAGCTGTTACCAACAGTGCTGTGGAATTCAATGAGGCACGAATGGAGGGTGAAAGAGAGATACGTGTCAAGAGGAAGGCATGTCAAGCCAACCCTGACCGGGACTACCTTCCATCTGGAAACCGATGCCCTCACTGTGAAATAACCTGCAGATCAAGAATAGGTCTCAACAGTCACCTATGGCCCCACTGCCAAGACCCTACATTTGGAAGGCAATCATATTCTAGCACAAGGGATCATTGACGATGACGACGACAACGATGATGTTCTTGACAGATCAAGGAAAGTCAGAGCGGTTGCTGCGAGTTGGACTTTTACATTTGGTGAAAGCAGGCAGCAGGCTGGTTTAGGTCTCAGAAGATGCTATGCATCCCTCTGCTCTCTAACAGGATGAAACCCATGGAGAGCTAAAGAGAAACAGCCCAGGGGTACTGCACTATCACCCCTTCGCATATTGCCTAATTCTGCATAACAGCAGAATAGTCTTACTTTAATTGACATTCTTAGAGCTGATCTCCTAAATATGATATTTCTTTTCAGCAACGCATTTAGATCTTTCAAAAACAGTGTATCATTATTCTCTGTTTCCAGTGTTTGGGCATGAATGCTGCTGCTTATGCAGCCAAAATGGCTGCCAAAAATGGCACCACCCACACACAAGAGGCTAAAGGGAGTTTCAAAACTTGCACAAGCCCCAACCCTCTGTTAAAAATAGATGCTCTATTTCTGTAACAAAAACATTTCAAAGGGCTTTGCAATTTGAACTTTGATTGTATACATGCCACTTTTAGGGGATTGTATCTCATTCTCTTAGACTCCAGATCCAGAAATCCTTAAAATTAAGTGAAATAATCAGAGGGCAGGGTGTTACAAATGCTGTCCTGAAATGCCATCTAATGGGATCCTCCATTAGACCCTTAAAAGCAACTGGGAGTGATGCACTGCTGGAGATGCTCTAGCTAGAGATTGAGCAGGGAGTTGGACCTAGTGGCGTCTAATGACCATTACAACTCTGATTCTATAATTCTATGATTCACCCTCCCTTTTGCCCAAAATGGTAACTTAAGTGCTGCAGTGCTCTCCAAAGTTCCAGATTAAATCCAGTGATGCCATGCACCCTACCAGAATCTAGAGCATTCCCACTCTTGACGTATAGGGTAGCTTTCTATGTTTCTAACACTATATGCCGTGATAGCTATTAACACGTAGTAAAAGAAAAACACAATGTTGCCAAATTATTTAACCTTTCCAATAGTAGGACTGAGTAGTTAGAAAGTGTTATATGGTAATCAGTTTATGTCAAATGATCTTGAGAATACCCCTCAGATGGTTTTAAAAGCAAAGGCAAGTAGTTTTGTTTTCCAGCATCCAGCTACCCTCCCAACTGTATCCATAACTAGTCTACAACTTCCTTAACAGAGTCCCAATAAAGTAAGGATGCCTCCTCTTCTGATGCCTATGCCCTGACCATATTTATATGCTGCTGGGACACTCAGAGTCTAGATTGGAAGATATCAAAGCAAAACAGACATGGAGGAACCCACAGGAAATTCTGGAGTCTTTGGCTCCGGGGACTGCATTAATATTTCTGAAATGCATAGTATCAAAATATTACAGAAGGCATTCTTATGGCAGTGCTTATTTTAAGAAGAGTTTGTTAAGAATCAGTCATAACTTAAATACAACAAGCCCTTTTGTATTATTAAAGCAACCATTTTTATTGTTCACTACCTTGTTCTATTTATGATTAACTGACTCTTATTCTAACTGTGGTTCCTTCCTTTTATGCTTTTACTTTGTGTTAAATTATTTCTCCTTTCTGGTCCACAGCCTTCTTACTTAGGAAAAATGTGTGAATCACATCTTGAAACTGAAGGAGAATCATCACTAGGATGAAATTAGCATTATTAATGGTCCTGTTTAACAGTCAATGACTTGCGAGAATATGCACACTGCAACTTAAGCAGATCTGAGTTAGGGCTGTCATACTGAAAACTGGAGACCGTTGCTATATCTTTAAAGGATGTGTAAAAAAAATGATCCCACCAAGCATTGCTTGTCACTTGCAAAATTCCCTTTTCTGCACAAACATTAAAGGTACAACACTCCTCTTCAGCAGACACAAAAGTTTCACTTTCTGGATATTACTGGACAGCTTTGTGACAACATTTAAGTACCACTTTCTTCCCTAACATACTGACTGGTTGCACATGCTTAACATGTTTCCAGTGCCAGATCAGAACATACAATATAGTCCATTGCCTACAATGAGGATGGGACAAGTGTACTTCTCTAAATGTTTGTGCAATCCAGTTCTTATTAAGCTTAAACAGCCAAGAATTTGTTGAGGAATGCTGGGTGTTGCAGTTTTTCCATTCTTATATACAAGTCATATAAGTTCAGACTCACTGGAAAAAGATTCATAATTCTGCATTTCCCAAATTACAGTATCCATCAGCAGTAAAGAAAACTTATTAACATGACTGAATTGTTCTAATAGAACCTTCTACTACAGATTTAAAAGAGAAGAAAAACATGCTGTCATCTGTAACTTTCAACTAAAATAATCAAATAAATGAGCTCCAAATCAACCTGGAAAACGACACCTTATAGGCTGTAGATGGTAATTCTGCACTCGTTTAATGACAGCACCCCACTCAGTTGCAAACAGCTACTCACTAGCCACAGCAGGCCACAATGAAAGGCAAGAAATAAACACACATAACTGACCAAACGGCAAATTTAGATACCAACATTGCCAACATTTCTACTTTGGAAATATTACTAGAGAATGTAAAAAAAATGTTTTCCACAACAATAGGGGTTCATTTTGTTACTAATCTCCCAGTGTGATGCTCTACATTAACAGCCAAGTACACTTTTGTGCGTGCCACACAGGGCAAGCAAGGCAGTTTCTAGGACAAATTTTAAAAAATTCATAGGTACAAATATGACATCAGAAGTACTCAAAAACCACTGGGAGAACATTAATTTTTCCCAGGTCACTCTGTCAGTAACCCCCAAAATGGCTATCCTGGAACAAAGATACTTCAAAAGGAGATTAAAATACGAGACTTCTGCATTTCAGTTCATTATCCAAGTAAGAAAAAAAGAAAGCATCAGAAGGAAAGAAAAAGAAAGAGAAATGTTGTAATATGCATATTTTGGGGAAAGCAGAGAGATTTACTTGGTTATTCCATTCTCCACATAAGTTGTTCTATAGAATCCAACCAGGGAGCCATTCAGATGTCCTCGGAACTTCATAGTCAGGAAATAAAGGTTAGGAGATAGGTCTTCTTCTGCTTCTATCACCACATATTCCTGTGGATTGTATTCAAAACAACGCTTTAGAGGAATGGATTGACCTGAAGATGTCTGGAGCAGGGGCATTTCTGTGATCTTTGTCTCTCTGATATGAAGCCAAATGTGTTTGGTGGGGTAGCTCTTCAGCGTGATGGAGATTTTGACAGTTCCATCATACTGATCTGCTCCCATGTCAGGTTTCAGCTCCAAATCATAATGGTTGGGAGAAACATAGGGAGACAGTTTGAAATTTGTCCAGTTTCCACTGTTATCATCATTTTGTGCAGGACAAGGATCCGTATCCCCTGGCGTAGGGACTGTGGGTGCTTTTGTTGTTGTTTGCCCATTGTCTTCTGAAACACTGCACTCTGGTGGTTTTAATCCCAGGCCCAGACCCAGGCCCAAGATTAGGCCTACAGCAACAACCACACCACAGATGATGATCACGTGCTTCTTTTTCATGCAATAAGTTTTGGATGCCTTGTCTTCAAAATCCATTCCTTGCATTTTCACTCGTCTCTATCGGCGCCAAATATAAAATAGTGCAAAAAAAAGATTTACGAAACAACAGCGCTTTAGCTTTCTTTTCTCTCCCCCTCTCTCTCTTGTATTGACTCAGCAACCTCTGTTTATGCTCAACAGTTTTCCTCTTTTTCTTTTGTACTGACTCAGCAGCCTCCGTTTATGTTCAGCAGTTTTCTCTCTTCTTTGCTCTGCCTTTTCTCCACTCCAGAGCTTCTACTCATTCAGATAATGAAAAACAGCATTTGGTTTATCCAAAGGGAAGTAACTTGTAAAGAAGAATTCAGCTAAGAAGCAGAGACACGGGAATTTAACACAGAAGAACATTGTAGCTGCTGCTAGTGGCCTTATAAGCCGTGCAACCCCACCCCCAAACTCCTCCTGCTCTGGACAGAATTAAATATAAACCAGCTCTGTGTTAATCAACAGTCAGGGATGATCAAATGCAATGGTCTGGTGTCAGCAGTTTTCTAGACAGATCATAGACAGAAGTGAATCACAGACAGAACGGTAGAACTGCTCAGAAACCACAACCTTTGGCTTTTTCCTCCTGGATTTCTTTATGAGTGAAGATTTCCTTGAACTTCTACCCTTATACTTTTGTGTAAAATCCCCTCTGTGTTCTTGGATTTCCCCCTCGTCTTTCCCTTCTGCCTTAAAAAACCCTCTTTATTTGGGTTTTGACCTCCTCCCAAGAGCAATGGAGTTTTAATTTTATTTTTCTTTATGGTGTTATTATGCTGGTTGGCTATATGAAATTACTTCGCCAGAAGAGAAAGCTCTCTCTGTGTTCATCAGGCCGTAAACATTGGCTCTTGATGTATGCAGAGAGCCAAACATGATCTTCAAGAGTTTGATTTGCATATGGAGCTGGCGAGGCAGCTGCAGTTGTATGTTCTCAATTTTTGCTATTTATGGTTTGTGCTTTTTCTGCAAACAGATGAGTGGGATGCAGAGAGAGCTGGGTAGTACAAATGCCTTATGTTGAAGCAGTGAGCATGTTTCAATGTCAAATAAAATGTGTGGTGGATTCACAAAAAGGTTTTGCCTTTTTCATTGTCATGCTAAATATTGCACAATACAAATCCTACTGAATTAAATGGGGAACTACCATAACTTTAGCCTTACGAGCTTTAGGTAGCTCCCAAATAATTGCCCCTTTCATGACAATTTCCTTCAGTCCCCACATGCAGCTGATCATTTAGAAATACAGTTTAGGTGACCAAAAGAAAATCAGGAAATGAAAATTGTCATGTCCAACTTACCTATCCGAATGTATCTCTCCTTATGAACCTTCTAGGACATTAAGATCTTCTGGGGAGGCCCTGCTCTCAGTCCTGCCTTCCTCGCAGATGCAGTTGGTGGGGACAAGAGACAGGGCCTTCTCAGTGGTGGCTCCTTGATGGTGGAACGTCTTGCCTAGAGATATAAGATTGACCACTTCCTCCTGACTTTTCAAAGAAAGGTGAAAACTGGGCTTTTTGAGGAAGCCTTCCCAAATGTAGCATAATTATATGAAATCATGGAACGATGTGACGATGCAATTAAATAATGACTTGACAAGGAGACACTCATAACAATGTTTTTACGGCTTTGTACGGTTTTTTATATTCTTATATTTTATGCTAAATGTTTTTAATAGTATTTTATGATTGTTTTATTTGTTTATAATTGTTGAGGCATCAAATTATTGCCAATTGTGAACCGCCCTGAGTTGCCTCTGGGATGAGAAAGGCGGTATATAAATGTGGTAAATAAATAAATAAATAAAATGCAACAAACTGCCCTGAGTCCCTTTGAAGAAATAGGGTAGGCTACAAATAAAGTTTCATTATTATTATTATTATTATTATTATTATTATTATTATTATTATTATTACAAATATAAGTATTTACAGTATCTTAGTCTCTGCAATGCTAGAAATTTGGGGACAGAAGAAAAATGTGTTGTCGAAGGCTTTCATGGCTGGAATTACTGAGTCGCTGTGCATTTTTCAAGTCGTATGGCCATGTTTCACATGCATTCTCTCCTGACATTTCATCCCCATCTATGGCAGGCACCCTCAGCATTGAAAGAACCCTCTAAAATCAGGACACTACATAAAGAGAAACACTTAAAAAATCAGGAGAATTCCAGACAAGAATCAATCAGGGCTAGCTAATATCTCCCAACAAAAGATTCCCCCAGGCAGAAATGATCCAGGCCTTGAAAAGGCCATTAAATGCTAGTCAAGGTGGCCAATTGCAACATTCACATGTGCCTCAAGCAGACAAGAGTTCGTTCTCACACCCTGGACAGTCCACAGATATATAAACCTCACTTACTTAGTTTTCAACAGACCACTCAACCTCTGAGGATGTGGGCGAAAGGCCAGGAGAGAATGCTTCTGGAACATGGCTATACAACCTGAAAAATGTACAGTAACACAGAAGAAAAAGTTCAGTTGGAAGACAATTTGGGGGGGGGGGGAGAATCCTATATTCCCCACCTTGCCCCATATATACACTGCTGCAGGTGTCAGCATACTCCTGGGTATTTCTTCTGGATCCGCTGATGATTTCCCTTTTTGGGGGGACAGAGCTGCGTGTTCTCAAAGAATCTTGAAGTAAAATCTGGCTGCTAGTCCAATTTGCTTCTCAATGTGGAAGGGAGAGGCACCATCCTTCTTCTTGCCTCAGGCAGTGAAAAGTCTTGGAATGGCTCTGATTACTCAGACAAGAAAAGCATTTCTAGTTACTTCTTTCTATTCATTCATTTATTTAAATATTTCTAGCCAGCATTGGATGTCAGGGTGATGTACAACACAAACAATTCAAACCCTTCCAAATGAAAACTATGAATAATAGAAACATGTTTAACATATTAAAACATTGGACTAAATGAAGTATAGTTTTGATTTAATCATGACCATACATCGAAGGCTCCACATGTAAAATTTCTTTGGGTATCTTTGCTACATATTCCTCCTCTGCCAACATACAGACTTTGTATCATTTCAACAACAGTTAAATGTTCAACACAACTATATAAAAACTATTAAGAACCCTTAATAGCCCTTCCATTCTATATAATAAGCCAAAAGTACAAACTGTGCCATGCTCTATTGCTTTATAGCATCATGCCTTCCAAGGTTAATATGGATTATGTGTAGCTAAAGGCTGCTCTGTATCTTACCAAAGTCTTTTAGAGACACGTTTACTCTGCAAGAATTTGGCCATTTCCCACAATCCTGTGACAAGAACAATTAAAGAAGCACAGTTTATCATATCTTATATAAATCTTACACAAGCAATGGGCGTTTCAAGTACAAAAATCTGAATGCTACCCCCCCCCACCCCAATAGCCTCAGCATATTGGATAGATCTTCTAAAAATTGGACAAAACTATCCACCACTTCACTGACATAGGAGCCACCAGCAGCCATTTTATATGTTGACTTACACACATCTGAGCAAGGCTTATAATATTTAAACTCTTTCCAATCAGGTATTATGATGGTGTTCAAGATCTTAGATCAGTGTCTCTCAACCTTGTGGTCAGGACCCCGGGGGGGGGGGGGGGGGGGTCGCAAGGGGTTTTTCAGAGGGTTCACCAAAGACCACAAAAAAAACACAAATTTCTGATGGTCTTAGGAACCTCTTTGGCAAAGAAGGCTGAAGATCTCTCCACCTGTGCCCTTGGGAAACAGATGGTGAATCCTCCCATTAAAGCCTTCCTCCTGCTCTCTGGATGTAGGTGAACTACAACTCCAAAACTCAAGGTCAATTCCCATCAAATCCTTCCAGTACTTTCTGTTGGCCATGGGAGTTTTGTGTGCCAAGTTTGGTTCAATTCCATAGTTGATGGAGTTCAGAATGCGGAAAAAGGAGACCTCAAATTCGGCTTAATTCGGACCGCTTATCTACATTAACAATCCCAAATCGGTCTCCTAGGGTAAATTGGTGTAACCAGGTTGGCGGGCCCTCCGGATTGAAGGTGGTGCTTGAACGCCAGATCTGTCAACGGAAAAACGACCTTTATCCAGGATTTAATCCTGGAGGAGCGGGCAGATCTGGCGTGCATCACGGAGACCTGGCTGGATGAAGCTGGAGGAGTGAATCTAACCCAGCTTTGTCCTCCAGGCTTCTCCGTGCAGCACCAACCGAGATCCGGAGGTCGGGGAGGCGGGGTCGCAGTGGTCTATAGGGATTCCATCCATCTGACCAGGTGCCCCATCCCGCAGACCACAAATTTTGAATGCGTCTACCTGAGGGTGGGTGACCGGGACAGAATAGGGATTCTGCTAGTGTACCGTCCACCTCGCTGCACTACAGTCTCCCTACCTGAGCTAGCGGGGGTAGTCTTGAGCCTGGCGTTGGAGTCTTCACGGCTTCTTGTGCTGGGAGACTTCAATATCCATGCCGAGGCGACCCTCACAGGAGCGGCTCAGGACTTCATGTCTGCCATGGCAACCATGGGGCTGTCCCAACAAATATCTGGCCCCACCCACTGTGCTGGACATACATTGGACTTGGTTTTCTGCCAGGGATGGGAGCAGGGTGGCGGTGTGGAGGAGTTGTCCATCTCTCCGTTGCCATGGACTGACCACTTCCTGATCAGATTTAGGCTCACTGCCCCCTAACCTCTGCAAAGGTGGAGGACCCATTAAGATGGTCCGCCCCAGGAGGCTTATGGATCCGAATGGATTCCTGACGGCTCTTGGGGATTTTCCCGCCACCTCGGTAGGTGACCATGTCGAGGCCTTGGTCGCTCTCTGGAATGGGGAGATGGCCAGGGCAATTGACATGATCGCTCCGGAACGTCCCCTCTCAAGTAGCCGAGCTAAACCAGCTCCTTGGTTTACTGAGGAGTTGGCAGTGATGAAGCGAAGGAAGAGGGAACTAGAGAGCGTGTGGCGTTCGGATCCGAGCGAGTCAAATCGAGCACGGTTTGTGTCCTTTTAAGGGCATATGCCGCGGCAATAAAAGCCGCAAAGAAAAGTTTCTTTGCGGCCACTATTGCGTCTGCAAAAAACCGTCCGGCGGAGTTGTTCTGGATTGTCAGAGGTCTTTTAACTCCCGCCACCTCAGGCGGGAGCCCTGACAATTCGGTCACGCGCTGTGAAGCATTTGCTCGGTTCTTTGCAGACAAAGTCGCCTTGATCCGCTCCGGGCTGGACGCCGCGTTAAATGCAGTCTCTGAGGATGTGACAAGAGCACCTGCTTGTCCTATTTTGATGGATTCTTTTCAGTTTGTGAAACCCGAGGATGTGGACAAGATACTTGGAGGAATGAGGCCCACCACGTCCATCCTAGACCCCTGCCCATCCTGGCTTCTGAAGGAGGCCAGAGGGGGATTGGCTGAGTGGGTAAC